ATATTAGGTCAGGATGACTAGACTAGTATGGTTTGTACGTACTGAAGGCCAGTCATCTAAGTTTACCCCTTTGATATTATTCCTTTTACTTTCGCGTAGTTAAAAGAATTGTTGCAGACAACAGAACCGCGTGTTGACATTCTTATGTCAGGTTGGTAATTTACTACAATCCAATCTAATAGGCTTTACACTAACACAGTGCAGGCCCAACAACTCAAATTAAATGGCGTAGCCTAATAAAGAAACGCATTTTATATTGGTTCTAATAATTTTATTGTAATTTATTATGAATGTATTTGATTTATTCATGCTGTAATTTATATGCCAAGGCCTTAACAAACACATCTTCATTTCAAAAGGTTGTTGCGTGATACTTCAAAGTAATCTTTGGACTACTGCAGGCATATGTAATGGTAGCATAGGTACTGTAGCTTCATATACAAATTTGCCGAAACAGAAAATTCCCTAGAATATTTCCAAATTTGCATTTTAGTACAATTTAACCCACACATTCACACATTTATTTTTTGAAAAATAAATTTTACCGACATTGTACAACGGGTTGTTATTTCCCTATCCTCCAGTATGATGTAAAATGTTTTCAAAGGCAATATCCAATAAATATTGTCTTATCTATTTCAGTCCATTGCAGTCAAGAATGTACAGTAGATCAGGCTGTGGTGGAATTAGGAAAGTCAGAATTTTATTTTCACTTACGTAGCATTGTCAAGAGTTAGAAATTCGAGGGCTTGCTTATTTTAGCCATTTTCAATAGAGAGAGTCAAAAGCATTAAATAAGAGAAGCAAATGGTAAGTAAAGAAAAAAGAGATGGCAAGACTTAAGTAAATTGCTTATAACGATGGGTAAAAATCATGAGGTTTATTGATCAATAAAATTTACTCATGTTTTAATGTTGTAATATATAATATTTTTCATAAAAAATTGTATTTGTAAACAAGGTTATTTGTTTATATCGATGCTCACTCCGCACAATTGGCAGACATGAGGCCGCATACCTAGTATATCATCGTCACCAATTAGCTTACAGCAAGGTTTCCACTAATTATTGACGGAGCTTCAATGGCGGTTGTGTTAAGTGTAAAGTACAAAATCAGAACTGCAGTGGGTGATTGTAACAAAGGTTTGCGGATAATGCTAAACTCGCTTTTCCAATGTGTCAAATTCGGTTTATTCACCGCTATGTGTTGCAATCGCTGGACTATGCAGTTATACCCAAATTATTCATAACCACATTTCGACGACGATCCTCGATACCGGTACTTCCCCCTAGAAAACATATTTTTTGACAGCTATAAATTTGGAATTGCTTGGCTTATTTGCCAATAACTTTTAAATTGTCGGAAAATCGACCAAAGTGGATGTAATATTTTGAAAGAGAATAACATTTCCTACAAATTACTATTATGTATTTCTTGAAAATACTTAATAAATGCAGCCAAAAGTTGGGACAAATTGAAACTTTAAAACAGAAACTTGAAAAGGCAGTTTTTAAATGTATGTATATAATCTTTATATTATTTTTACTTTTTCACCACAGATATTTATTAAAATCACACTTTTATAATTATTTGCAAATCTACATGAGTTAGGCTTTCCAATAACCCATTAATTAACAAATCTGTCTTGTAGAAGTCTAAATTCAGTTGTACAAGGTTTAACAAAAAGTCACTAACTCAGTATTTTCTCACTACTATAAATTCGGAGGTTGCTTAGCTTTTTTGCAAATAACTGGTAGGTGATATTCTGAAAGGGAATAACATTTCTTACAATTTGATACCACTCACTTCTTAGAAATACTCAAAAGGGCAGCCAAAAGTTGCATATAAATAAAACATTTAAAACCCCTGTTTTCAATGTATTTCTTATTGAAATCATCTATATATTTAATACGCTAGGCATATTTTTGTCATAATTGTTTTGGAGTGGTGGTGCTACCGATCACCATGTTCAAGGTGTCGTTAGAAAGGTCTTAGCATGTAGTTTTGCAATAAAACAAAAAACTTTGGAATTCCATCAGGGCTCTGCCCCAGTGGCCTTCAAACTGGTTTGTATTTGAACAGATGAATACTTTGAAATTGACACTAATATTTGAAACAGATGGTTATACTAAAATTTTGCACAAAATCAAAACATAACCAAAAAAAAAAAAAAAAACGTTCGACATAATGAAGACTGGGACGGGTGGCGCCGTCCTGTAATCCAACTACTAGGAGGTCACAAAATGTGGATATTTACAGGCATGCATTGTGGATGCGATACTCCCTGGTCTGGATTAATGTCAGCACGGGTGAGTACTACGACTATCCGCAGTACTATCCTGATAATTAGACCAATTCTTAATTACCAAGGCAAAAATGTGGTTCGGATTCCACTATAAACTGTAGGTCCCTTAGTTGCCATTAGCTGTATGGGCTATTAATTAACAGCTGTGTCTAAGGAATGTCGGCCTTAGTCACTAACAAGATCGCACCACTCATCCTACACTCATATCCATTCATACTTGGCTTAAAATACCTAATTTGTATGGTCGCCATTTCATAGAACAATATTAACAGTATAACAGTATTAACAGAACAGGAGACTATAAGACGTTGACCAGGACGGCCAATAGGAGGAGGCCGACGAACTTTAACTGGTAGACGCGAACAAAATACAAATAATAATATTGTCGTTGATAGCCGAATACAGCAAGCACCTTTCCGTGCTGGGTTTAAGCATAGGCAAAAAGAATCATCATAGACTGTCAGCTGTGCTGCGGTTACCATGGTTACCATAGATTCTGGCACACACCGCTGCAAGCGCCGTATAGTTACGTAGCGCGTACACGGTAACAACGGCGCTCCCAGTGGTGTGCGCCAGAACTTATGGTAACCCGCAGCACGACTGACGGTCTACATTTAATACTTTTTGTCTATGGTTTAAGTGTGCGCTCCAACAGTCGCCATAAGATTTCACATCCAATTTAAGACTGTTGGATAATCGCTGCATAAGCTGTTGATTTTGGAAGACAATGAGGAGGGTAGGATTAATTTGAAAACAGATAAGAGGAGATATTAGATGAGTGGCAAATGCGTTGGGAGCAGAGTGTTCTATGTTAACGTTTTAAAGGTAAACGTTCGTATTTATACCTAACATCAGAAAGAGACTGGAACAAGATTGGGAGATGGGCCATTATGAAACGCAGTTTGTCACAGGACATTGAAAATTTCAAGGCGATTTTGTGAAGATTTCACACGGTGGAAGAGGAAGTATGTAGATGTGGAGAAATAAAAACCACGAGTCACGTATTAATAAATTGCTAACTTCAGGAGACAAATAGGTGAGAACAGATACATATAGGCATTAAAATTTAAAAAAAGAAAGAAACAAAAACTAAGAAAGAAAAGGTATGAAAAACTTGCCCATGAAGGAGAGAGGAAAGGTTAGAGCGAATCTCAATGATCCCTCGCTCAGGGCGGTATGGGGAAGGGAGTCGTGCTGGCTTTTGGACACACAATGTGTCTGGAAATCCAATGCAGCTATGAGTAAGGTTATTTTTGTAGAAAACACTATTTACAATTATTGTTGATTCTATCTATCTATTATGTACATCTTTAGTATTTCCATAATCTTTGAGTCGAATATTTTAAAGTCATCAGAAATTATGACTGTTATTCGTTTTGAAATAACGCCTGTAATACTAAGCAATTGCTCGAATTCGAGCAAAAGGTACACTAGTGTTTTTTTAACTGTTCGCCATAAATCAGAATAAAAACAATAATTCATAATTATTTGCAAATCTACACGAATTCCAATGAAGATACCGAAGCTTTCCAATGACCCATTAATTAATAAAATCTGTCCAGTAGAACTCTAGATTTAGTTGTACAAATATTTTTAAAACTGAAGTAGATAAGTTAATGTTGTAGGCCTAATTTAAGAAGTTCTCTCTTAGTTTAACTATGTTTAACAAGGGAGTATGTTTAATCTATGGTTTAACTTAAATTTTCGTGTTCAAGACCACGACGGGTAGCTAGTACTGTACAACTATAAAACAAGCAAACTGGGACAAGCAAATAATCTTTTTTAGCTGAACACATATAATACTGTAATAATAAATATAAAAAATAGTAAAACGTTCATTACCGATCTATATTTCCAGAATATAATATACAGTAAGAGAGAAATACTAAATAAAATTACGTTTTACGTTTTACGCGTTGTTCCTCACATTATAATAGCGTCATTTTTTACGATATAGTTCCACGTTCGACGATTTAGACCCACGTTACACTGATACTTTAATACTTTCTTATTAAATGGCGACCGTACAAAGTAGGTATTTTAAGCCAAGTATGAATGGAGATGAGTGTACGATGAGTGGCGCGATCTTGTAGTCTTGTAACATTATCTGCTAAGGTTGACATTCCTTAGACACAGCTGTTAATTAATAGTCCTTACAGCTAATGGCATCTAAAAGGACCTACAGTTTATAGTGGAATCCGAACCACATTTGTTTGCATTGGTATATACGAATTGGTCTAATTATTAGGATAGTACTGCGGATAGTCATAGTACTCACTCGTGCGGATGTTAATCCACACCAGGGAGTATCGCATCCACAGTACATGCCCATAAATATCCACAATTCGTGACCTCCTAGTAGTTGGATTACAGGACGACGCCACCAGTCGCAGTGATGAAGAATGGAAAGTAATACATCCAGGAACTTTTGGCTAATTACGTAAAAATATATACTATTACAAGTAGTCCTTACTTTTTAACAGTACTACTACACACACTATGTAACACTATGGAACAGTCCTTTGTCCAATACAAATTGTACAATATTTTGTTAATTCTGGCTTAATAAACGATTTGACGATTTGATAAACAATTTCTCCATATGAAAAAAGATAAAATGTTTGTCTCGTTTATTTTCCAATTTAATTAGTTGTCAATAGCTTAACACGGAACGGAAAAAAACAGAAACCCTCACCTGAGCTAGCAGTATCGGTCGACTGTGAAGAGTGTGTGATAGCTGGCCCCGCCACCCTCACCTGAGCTAGCAGTATCGGTCGACTGTGAAGAGTGTGTGATAGCTGGCCCCGCCGCCCTCGCCTGGGCTAGCAGTATCTGTCGACTGTGAAGAGTGAGGAGTGGGTCGGTCCTAGGTGTAGGAGACGGACAGCGAGGTCTGCCGTCCTTGTACTTGTGATAGCTGGCCCCACCACCAACCTTACCTGAGCTAGCAGTATCGGTCGACTGTGAAGAGTGTGTGATAGCTGGCCCCACCGCCCTCACCTGAGCTAGCAGTATCGGTCGACTGTGAAGAGTGTGTGATAGCTGGCCCCGCCGCCCTCACCTGAGCTAGCAGTATCGGTCGACTGTGAAGAGTGTGTGATAGCTGGCCCCGCCGCCCTCACCTGAGCTAGCAGTATCGGTCGACTGTGAAGAGTGTGTGATAGCTGGCCCCACCGCCCTCACCTGAGCTAGCAGTATCGGTCGACTGTGAAGAGTGTGTGATAGCTGGCCCCACCGCCCTCACCTGAGCTAGCAGTATCGGTCGACTGTGAAGAGTGTGTGATAGCTGGCCCCGCCGCCCTCGCCTGGGCTAGCAGTATCGGTCGACTGTGAAGAGTGTGTGATAGCTGGCCCCGCCGCCCTCGCCTGAGCTAGCAGTATCGGTCGACTGTGAAGAGTGTGTGATAGCTGGCCCCACCGCCCTCACCTGAGCTAGCAGTATCGGTCGACTGTGAAGAGTGTGTGATAGCTGGCCCCGCCGCCCTCACCTGAGCTAGCAGTATCGGTCGACTGTGAAGAGTGTGTGATAGCTGGCCCCGCCGCCCTCGCCTGGGCTAGCAGTATCTGTCGACTGTGAAGAGTGAGGAGTGGGTCGGTCCTAGGTGTAGGAGACGGACAGCGAGGTCTGCCGTCCTTGTACTTGTGATAGCTGGCCCCACCGCCCTCACCTGAGCTAGCAGTATCGGTCGACTGTGAAGAGTGTGTGATAGCTGGCCCCGCCGCCCTCACTTGAGCTAGCAGTATCGGTCGACTGTGAAGAGTGTGTGATAGCTGGCCCCACCGCCCTCACCTGAGCTAGCAGTATCTGTCGACTGTGAAGAGTGAGGAGTGGGTCGGTCCTAGGTGTAGGAGACGGACAGCGAGGTCTGCCGTCCTTGTACTTGTGATAGCTGGCCCCACCGCCCTCGCCTGAGCTAGCAGTATCGGTCGACTGTGAAGAGTGTGTGATAGCTGGCCCCGCCGCCCTCACCTGAGCTAGCAGTATCGGTCGACTGTGAAGAGTGTGTGATAGCTGGCCCCACCGCCCTCACCTGAGCTAGCAGTATCGGTCGACTGTGAAGAGTGTGTGATAGCTGGCCCCGCCGCCCTCACTTGAGCTAGCAGTATCTGTCGACTGTGAAAAGTGAGGAGTGGGTCGGTCCTAGGTGTAGGAGACGGACAGCGAGGTCTGCCGTCCTTGTACTTGTGATAGCTGGCCCCACCGCCCTCACCTGAGCTAGCAGTATCGGTCGACTGTGAAGAGTGTGTGATAGCTGGCCCCGCCGCCCTCACCTGAGCTAGCAGTATCGGTCGACTGTGAAGAGTGTGTGATAGCTGGCCCCGCCGCCCTCGCCTGGGCTAGCAGTATCTGTCGACTGTGAAGAGTGAGGAGTGGGTCGGTCCTAGGTGTAGGAGACGGACAGCGAGGTCTGCCGTCCTTGTACTTGTGATAGCTGGCCCCACCGCCCTCACCTGAGCTAGCAGTATCGGTCGACTGTGAAGAGTGTGTGATAGCTGGCCCCGCCGCCCTCACCTGAGCTAGCAGTATCGGTCGACTGTGAAGAGTGTGTGATAGCTGGCCCCACCGCCCTCACCTGAGCTAGCAGTATCGGTCGACTGTGAAGAGTGTGTGATAGCTGGCCCCACCGCCCTCACTTGAGCTAGCAGTATCGGTCGACTGTGAAAAGTGTGTGATAGCTGGCCCCACCGCCCTCACCTGAGCTAGCAGTATCGGTCGACTGTGAAGAGTGTGTGATAGCTGGCCCCACCGCCCTCACCTGAGCTAGCAGTATCGGTCGACTGTGAAGAGTGTGTGATAGCTGGCCCCACCGCCCTCACCTGAGCTAGCAGTATCGGTCGACTGTGAGGAGTGTGTGATAGCTGGCCCCGCCGCCCTCACCTGAGCTAGCAGTATCGGTCGACTGTGAAGAGTGTGTGATAGCTGGCCCCACCGCCCTCACCTGAGCTAGCAGTATCGGTCGACTGTGAAGAGTGTGTGATAGCTGGCCCCACCGCCCTCACCTGAGCTAGCAGTATCGGTCGACTGTGAAGAGTGTGTGATAGCTGGCCCCACCGCCCTCACCTGAGCTAGCAGTATCGGTCGACTGTGAAGAGTGTGTGATAGCTGGCCCCACCGCCCTCGCCTGGGCTAGCAGTATCGGTCGACTGTGAGGAGTGTGTGATAGCTGGCCCCGCCGCCCTCGCCTGGGCTAGCAGTATCGGTCGACTGTGAGGAGTGTGTGATAGCTGGCCCCACCGCCCTCGCCTGGGCTAGCAGTATCGGTCGACTGTGAAGAGTGTGTGATAGCTGGCCCCACCGCCCTCGCCTGGGCTAGCAGTATCGGTCGAATGTGAGGAGTGTGTGATAGCTGGCCCCACCGCCCTCGCCTGGGCTAGCAGTATCGGTCGACTGTGAGGAGTGTGTGATAGCTGGCCCCACCACCCTCACCTGACCTAGCAGTATCGGTCGACTGTGAAGAGTGTGTGATAGCTGGCCCCACCGCCCTCGCCTGGGCTAGCAGTATCGGTCGACTGTGAGGAGTGTGTGATAGCTGGCCCCGCCGCCCTCACCTGAGCTAGCAGTATCGGTCGACTGTGAAGAGTGTGTGATAGCTGGCCCCACCACCCTCACCTGAGCTAGCAGTATCGGTCGACTGTGAAGAGTGTGTGATAGCTGGCCCCGCCGCCCTCGCCTGGGCTAGCAGTATCGGTCGACTGTGAAGAGTGTGTGATAGCTGGCCCCGCCGCCCTCACCTGAGCTAGCAGTATCGGTCGACTGTGAAGAGTGTGTGATAGCTGGCCCCACCGCCCTCGCCTGGGCTAGCAGTATCGGTCGACTGTGAGGAGTGTGTGATAGCTGGCCCCGCCGCCCTCGCCTGGGCTAGCAGTATCGGTCGACTGTGAGGAGTGTGTGATAGCTGGCCCCACCGCCCTCGCCTGGGCTAGCAGTATCGGTCGACTGTGAAGAGTGTGTGATAGCTGGCCCCGCCGCCCTCACCTGAGCTAGCAGTATCGGTCGACTGTGAGGAGTGTGTGATAGCTGGCCCCGCCGCCCTCGCCTGGGCTAGCAGTATCGGTCGACTGTGAGGAGTGTGTGATAGCTGGCCCCACCACCCTCACCTGAGCTAGCAGTATCGGTCGACTGTGAGGAGTGTGTGATAGCTGGCCCCGCCGCCCTCACCTGAGCTAGCAGTATCGGTCGACTGTGAAGAGTGTGTGATAGCTGGCCCCACCACCCTCACCTGAGCTAGCAGTATCGGTCGACTGTGAGGAGTGTGTGATAGCTGGCCCCGCCGCCCTCACCTGAGCTAGCAGTATCGGTCGACTGTGAAGAGTGTGTGATAGCTGGCCCCACCGCCCTCGCCTTGGCTAGCAGTATCGGTCGACTGTGAAGAGTGAGGAGTGGGTCGGTCCTAGGTGTAGGGGACGTACAACGAGGTCTGCCGTCCTTGTACTTGTGATAGCTGGCCCCGCCGCCCTCACCTGAGCTAGCAGTATCGGTCGACTGTGAAGAGTGTGTGATAGCTGGCCTCGCCGCCCTCAACTGAGCTAGCAGTATCGGTCGACTGTGAAGAGTGTGTGATAGCTGGCCCCGCCGCCCTCGCCTGGGCTAGCAGTATCTGTCGACTGTGAAGAGTGAGGAGTGGGTCGGTCCTAGGTGTAGGAGACGGACAGCGAGGTCTGCCGTCCTTGTACTTGTGATAGCTGGCCCCACCGCTCTCGCCTGGGCTAGCAGTATCTGTCGACTGTAAAGAGTGAGGAGTGGGTCGGTCCTAGGTGTAGGAGACGGACAGCGAGGTCTGCCGTCCTTGTACTTGTGATAGCTGGCCCCACCACCCTCACCTGAGCTAGCAGTATCGGTCGACTGTGAAGAGTGTGTGATAGCTGGCCCCACCGTTCTCGCCTGGGCTAGCAGTATCGGTCGACTGTGAAGAGTGAGGAGTGGGTCGGTCCTAGGTGTAGGAGACGGACAGCGTGGTCTGCCGTCCTTGTACTTGTGATAGCTGGCCCCACCGCCCTCACCTGAGCTAGCAGTATCGGTCGACTGTGAAGAGTGTGTGATAGCTGGCCCCGCCACCCTCACCTGAGCTAGCAGTATCGGTCGACTGTGAAGAGTGTGTGATAGCTGGCCCCACCGCCCTCACCTGAGCTAGCAGTATCGGTCGACTGTGAGGAGTGTGTGATAGCTGGCCCCGCTGCCCTCACCTAAACTAGCAGTATCGGTCGACTGTGAGGAGTGTGTGATAGATGGCCCCGCCGCCCTCACCTAAACTAGCAGTATCGGTCGACTGTGAGGAGTGAGTGATAGCTGGCCCCGCCACCCTCACCTGAGCTAGCAGTATCGGTCGACTGTGAAGAGTGTGTGATAGCTGGCCCCGCCACCCTCACCTAAACTAGCAGTATCGGTCGACTGTGAGGAGTGTGTGATAGCTGGCCCCGCCGCCCTCACCTAAACTAGCAGTATCGGTCGACTGTGAGGAGTGTGTGATAGCTGGCCCCGCCGCCCTCACCTGAGCTAGCAGTATCGGTCGACTGTGAAGAGTGTGTGATAGCTGGCCCCGCCACCCTCACCTAAACTAGCAGTATCGGTCGACTGTGAGGAGTGTGTGATAGCTGGCCCCGTCGCCCTCGCCTGGGCTAGCAGTATCGGTCGACTGTGAAGAGTGAGGAGTGGGTCGGTCCTAGGTGTAGGGGACGTACAGCGAGGTCTGCCGTCCTTGTACTTGTGATAGCTGGCCCCGCCGCCCTCGCCTGAGCTAGCAGTATCGGTCGACTGTGAA